TATTAAAAATAAACAAAATAAGCAAGTCAGAGAAAGAGAAGTATCATATGATCTCATTCATATGTGGAATTTAATGAACAAAATAAACCAATGAACAAAAACAGAGCTAGAGACAGAGAAGCATCGATCAGATGCTCCAACCTCAGAGGGAAGGTAGGGAGGATGGTGGGGAAGGGGGAGAGATCAACCAAAGGACTTGTATGCATGCATATAAGCATAAGCGATGGACGCAGACAACGGGGTGAGGGTGAGGGCAGGACTGGGGGGATGAGGGAACAATGGGGAGATAAAGACACACTCGTAATACCTAAATCAATAAAAATTTTTAAAAAAAACCTGTGGTACATCTGCACAATGGAATACTATGCTCCTGTAAAAAGGAAGGAACTCCTACCATTTGCAACAGCATGGATGGACCTAGAGAGCATTATACTAAGCGAAATAAGTCAGTTGAAGAAAGATAATTATCACATGATAGCACTCATTTGTAGAATATAATGAACAACATAAACTGATGAACAAAAATAGATCTAGAGACAGAGAAGCATCGATCAGATTGTCAAACCTCAGAGGGAAGGTAGGGGAGGGTGGGAGAAGGGGGAGAGATCAACTAAAGGACTTGTATGCATGCATATAAGCCTAACCAATAGACACAGACACTAGAGGAGGTTGAGGGCAAGAGTGGGGAGGGGGTTGAGGGGACTATGGGGGAATAAGGACACAAATGTAATACCTTAATCAATAAAGAAAGAAACGAAACATAACACACTTCTGAATGGGAAAAGTATTATAAAGTACTGACAAAAGTATAAAGGTGTCAGTTCTTTCCAAAGTATAGTTTTATATATTCCTACTCAAAATTCTAAGGATTTGTGGATTAACATAGAAACATTATACAGAAAAGAATAGGTAAAATAATTTTTTATTTTTTATTGAATTTATTGGGGTGGCATTAGTTAATCAAATTATATAGATTTCAGGTGTACAATTCTACAATACGTCATCTGTATAGTGTATTGCGTGTTCACCACTCCAAATCAAGTCTCCTTTTATCACCATTTATCCTCCCTATACCTTCTCTACCACCCCCACCAAATAATTTTTATTTTTAAAGAAGATATCAAAACATAATTTAAAAGTTGCAATAGAGGATCATGGTGAACAGAAATAAGTTCCCTGTGGCTAGAACACAGAGAATGAAAATGTGGAAGGAAATGAATCTGTAGAAGTAAGTAGGAGTCAGATCGCACAAGACTCTGTGATATATTTGAGATTTTGAATTTTATCTAAGAGCAGTGGGAAGCTACTGAAGAATTTTAAGCAGGCAAATGACTTGATAGATTTGCCTTTTTGAAGTGGATGCCAGAGACTCTTTGGAAGACTATAGGAGTAATTCAGGTAAGAGATGATTGAAGTATTGCAAATAAGAATGGAAAGTGAAAATATTTAAGGAATATTTAGAGGTTGGTTTGATAGAACTCGGTGATTTAGTGGATGTGTAAGAGGGTAGAAAAAGGAAAGAGTCGAAGATAATTACATATTAACCGTTTGACTGCTAAGGAGCGCTATGGCACTCTTCTTATTTAAGACAAATTTATGCAAACAATTGGTATTTTTTAATTTTTGTTGTTGCAAAGCAATACAAGTGAGTTTATTGTATAAAAAGTGTTTTACATTTTTTCCCATACACGCGCAATTAGTGCCGCAGTTTTGGCATATGTCCGAAAAAATACGTCAGCAGCCAAACGGTTAAGTGATGTTCAGGACAACAGACTAAGTATGAGAGGGAGGAGATATAGTAGTACATTAGATCCTTGCTTAAAAACAGATATCAAAATAACCTCTAGATGGAAAAAGAAGTTAAATATTAAAAAGATGAAGCCACAGAAATACCTTAAGGAATCAAGGACCTCTGGATTGTGCTCCAATCTGCCTATGAACCGACCCGCTCCATCATACCTATTTTCCAGTCCCAATGTAGAATGTGTAGAGCACCCATCCATTCAGTACTCAACCCCCTTACCTGTGTCTATACTTTAATTCACATTCACCTTTGCAGAAGGGCCACCATTAACATTACATCTCTAGCTACTAAACTCCTACTGATCCTTCAAAATACAGCTGAAATGTTACCTCCTCCACAAAATCTTTTCTGGCTCTCCAATAAAACTAAGTTTTACTTGCTGCCACAGCATTTTACTTAAATACTTTGCATAGTAATTCTTACATTCTATTGTTCTATGGATATACATATAGAATTATATATATAACTAGAGGCTTGGTGCACAAAAATTTGTGCACTCAGGTGGGATGGAGGGTGCCTCGGCCTGCATGTGCCCTCTCACAGTCTGGGAGCCCTCAGGGGATGTCCTTCTGATGGCTTAGGCCCGCTCAGCTGCAGTCTGCCTCCCTCTGTG